TAAAGGATATGTGGGATGATTTCTCTCTGAGCAACCTCAAACTTTCAAGTCCTTTTCTCCCAATAGCTTCTGTGAGGACGAAAGGTGGATTTGGCCTGGACTGTAGTGGTGCAGCCTCCACAATTTACAGCACACTCTCCTGGCTCTTGGTAACAAAACCTGGCCTTCTTATTCTGCTCACACTGGCCCACACCCCTGGGGAGTGTGTAGCCAGCTTCTTGTTCCCTCAAGAGGCCAAGCTCAGGGTCCTTGGAAGCTGGATTCACCACACAAAACACTGGAGGAGGTGGGTGTGGTCCAGGCCTGTGTCGCCTACTGTGAAGACCTGCCCTCCCCACTACAGCCCATCTCTCAAGGGTGGCTGCAGCAGGGGTGCAGGAGGTGCCAGGAAGGTGGGCTCCCGCAGGCAGATCTGCAGCGCCTTTCCACAGAGACCCCTAGTCCCCACCTCTGTGGGAACTTTGTCCCCCACTGTTGCCCATAAAGGCCTTTCACTAAACTGTGGGTGTCCATATGGTGGGTTTTATGAAACGGCCAAGTATTTGTCTCAGTCACACCCACAGCAGCACCTTCTGGTCCCTGCCTAAGTGGTTCTCAGAAGCGGCTGGCTAGAACACTACTCAATGCTGAAATTATAGGAAAAAGGATAAAAAGTGTGGATGTCAAGTATCCCCAGTCAGAGATCTTGGGACTGGCTGAGACAGAGTGGCAGGTCCATTAACAGTCCTGGGCAGTGTGAAGGCTGCACAGGAAGTGGGCACACTTCCTACCTTTTTTCCAAGATTCAGGAGCAGAGATTTCCTGTATTAGGATCCCCTCTAGGGACGAGATTCTCTGCCACCACCATGCAGTGCCAGTGTGGTACAGTGGGAAGTGTTCTGCACAGTTGGGAACCCTGGCTCTCATGCTAGCTCCCTGGTGGCTCAAGGAGCAGTGGGGCCTACATTCTGCAGCTGCTTAGGTCCTCAGTTTACCCGTCTGGGAAGTGCAGGGTGAGTGGTTCCTGGAGTCCCCAGCAGGTTACACCAGCACTCAGGCTTGCTTGGTCTCAGATGTGCATCCTTTTCCCTCTCTGGCCTGGGAGCTCTGCAGGGTCAAAACAAGTCTGGGGCCCTGCACGGGACCCCTGGACATTTGTAGCCTAGTACCCGCATGTTCACGTGCCCTCCAGTCCTGCAGGCCCTTGATTCTCTGCATACCGACACAGGACATTAAGTTGGTGCTCACAGGCTCATGTGCTACCACAGGACCCCTTGGGCTCCAGAAACAGACTCTGAAGCCTGGCTCATCCGTTTGGTAACTCCACAGTCCTAATGAGCAGCCTCACTTTGTGAAATCAGTTCCTTGGCTATAAAATGAAGTGATCCTTGGCCCTTATTGGGAGGAGGCCAGCACTGAGAGAGCTGGCAAGGGCAGAGACCCCACCTATCCTTGTGGTCACTGTAACTGGTTATTTCTGTGATGAGAGGACCGGGGAGAGCCAGGTTCTAAACCCAGTTCTTTCCTGGCTCTTCTTTTTATAAAATAGAGGTTGATGTCATGGAGAGAGCCCTGGCTGGAGTTAGGGCACCTGGATCAGCTGCCAGCCAATTAGTTCTCTGAGGTGTTGGACAACCCCACCTCTCTTTTCTAAGCCTCTCTTTTCTGTATAGATGAAGAACACTGGAAGAAGTCACACAGTGAACATTCAGGGGACTGCTGGGCAGCTTGGGCTCCTCCTAAGAGTGTGGCAGGGCAGCTTGTACACCCTGACCTGGCCCAATGTCACACAGCACCAGTGACAGAAAGCTAGCCTTCAAGCATGAGCCAGGGAGCCCAGCCCAGTGGCTGGACCTGGCCATGGGGGCTTGCAGACTCACCTGTGTGGGACCCCTCAAAAGCATTCAGCAACAGGACTCGTAAGCAGGCCCACTGATGCGTCCTGCATGGGAAATCAGGTCCAGGTTAGCAGCCTTGGGGCTCCTTCCTCCTTGATCTTTTCCTGCCTGCCCCACATGGCCAGACTTCAAGATGAGAGAGGCTCCCATCCGAACACAGGTCCATTCCCTTCTTTTTGTCTGTCTCCTGTGTGACCTTTTGCCCCCATGAGTAGTGAATTGAGAATACCATAAGGTCCATCTTTCTCAAAGCTTACCTGAAGGTCTCTTGTTGAGGATGCTGCCTGTGAGGGAAGGTATGATGGGCTTCTTGTGGCCTAATGAAAGAAGAGCAATAGAGCCCTTGCCCCCTCGCGGGGATGGTGTTAAGCCTGTTGTTTCTTTGCAGAGCACTGGTTCTCCTGAACATGGCCCCCATCCTCTGTTCCTGAAGGTGTGCAGGCCTTTAGGGCAGGGAGTAACCCAGGCCTAGGGAGTGCCAAGCTGAGCAGGGATGGTAGGAGCACCGAAGATGTGGGTGACCCACAAGGAGATGGTTTGGTGCCTGGCCTGAAGAGCTGGCTCCCAGCAGAGCCTGGTCAGCACTTGACAGGGGTCGCAGGCCTGGGTTGGGCTGTGGTGAGGTTTTCTCTGTGCTGAGTGACTGGCTGGGTCCAGGCACCCTGGTGTTCCATGTTCTGAACCCTCACTCCAAGCCCAAGGGGAGACCTTGAAGCTGCTCCTCTCTCCTCAGGCTCAGCAGCCTGTTTATTCCCCCTCAGGCAGCCCCTGACAAGGTACCGTAGGCCGGCACCTTGCTGACAGTCTTGCTCTATGGGTTTGCATTGAGACATTGAGAACAAGGTTGCCATGCCCTCTGAGTGAGCTTTTGAGGGCTGCAGAGATGGGGCAGACACCACTCTGCCCCCAGCCTTGGGTGCCTCCAGGAGGAGCCCTTCAGACCAAGTCTGAATGTTGAGTCTGCATGGAGACTGATCTGTGGAGGCTCCCACGTGTGCCTGTGCCTTAGGTTTTACGTGACCTCCCAGCCATAAGGCACACAGGTGAGGGCCTGCCCAGTGCCAGCTGCTCGCCCTGGAAGGCACTGCATGCGACCAGGAGCGAGACAGGGATGGTGAGGGAGGAGGCGCTCTCGTTGCCAAGAGCTGAGAAGCCGGCAGAAAGCCTTTTGCCCCGCTTGGCAACTGGACCTCACCCTTGAACTCTCCTCCTCTTTTAATTTTCTTTTTTTGGGGGGTTGGCTTCAAATTATCTTGTTTTGTTTACATTACACCCAAGTTTCATGGTACAAAAGACTTGCAGGTGCAAATATGTCCCGCCTTCATTAACTTCCCCTCCCTTTTTAATTTATGTGATTTCAATTTTCCTTCCCTGTACTGTTAATTAGGGGACCCTCTAATCAGTGCCATTATCACAGTGGTATTCATGTTTAGGAAAGCCGCTAAACAAATGCTTGCAAAATTGCTAAATGGCTAATTAATGTCTGTTAATTAAGAAAATTGCTCATGGTAACAAACCATGCCGTTGCTGGCAGCCGCTAGAAAGACACACACTTGTTGAAATTAGTAGCGTGGCAGGTAGGGGAACATCTGCTCCTCGAGCTTGCCGGAAGTGAGCAGCCCCTCTTGGAGCCAGGAAGCTCGTGGGTCTGTCTGAGGTGCCCTGAGACTCCCGCACAGCCTACACGCCTGCTCCGCGGCCGCTGTCTCCATGCCCTTTCCTCCATGTCTCCAGCTCAGGCTCCCCCCCCCCCCAGCTACCAACTAGCAGAGCCTGGGAGCCTGGTTTTGGAGGAGAAAACTGAGTATGAAAACTACTTCTGCAGTGCCCTCACTGTTCAAAAGTGTAGGCATACCTCGTCTCCATGTAGGTTTGACGTTTTAAGAAGTGACAGTCACGGTGGAGAGGGGTACAGCTCGGCTCCAAGTGGCCAGGGATGCAGAGCTTCTCCACGAGTTTAACTATGACTCAGAATAGGAAAATTTTATGTGTATCTCTACATCCAATGTATATGTTAAAATAAGGATTCATGGAAGATACCCTGCCTTAAAACACATAAAGCTCTGTAATTTTATTTTTAATGTTTCAGCTTGTGGAAAAATAATGGTTGTAACCCACTTAATTGATTTCACTACCCACAAATGGGCTTGACCAACCCTAAAGTTTTAAGTGAATCCATCTCATCCCCACAGCAGCCGGGTCCCTGTAGCCCAGGTCAGCCCAGAGCTGCAGGTGGCTCACCACGGCCCATGGGAAGCTGTGGGCCCCTCCACCCACAGACGCATCCAGCAGTTGGAGGGCTCTGAGCCTGACACCCAGCCTGACCTTGGGTGACAAGGCTGGGTGTGGTCTTGAGACCATGTCCTGACTCTGCTGTGTAACAGTCCTGTGGCTATGGGCAAGTTCCTTCACCCTGAGGCTGTTTCCTCCTTATTAACAGTTGGAATTAGAGACCCCACCACCACTTAGGGCCCTTTGAAACACAGGTGAATTCATGAACCACAGGCCCCTGGTTGCCTGTACGAAGTGGCCCTTCAGGCAGAGCCTCTGGTTCCCCGCTGCTTTAGTCTGGTGCCAGGCTGCTACTCGTGCCTCTGTCTTTATTTCTGCATCGGCGCTTGCTGCCCACACCCTTAATCCTCAAGTTCCCCAAGCCACCAGGACTCTGTCCCCAGACTGTGAGCTCCTTGAGGGCAGGGGCCATCCCAGTTCTTCCCCACAGGCACCTCAGGCACACATGCGCACTTGGCTTTGGGTTCAGGTGGCTGCTGTGAGCCTCTCTGTCTCCCTGGGGCCCACCTCAGCCAACATATTTAACATGGCAAACTCGACTCAGATGGTGGATCTGTCTGTGCAGCCCCCTTCCTCTGTGCTTTGACGAAGGTGCTTTGTTTGACTTTGTTCTTCCAAATACCCTGTGAGTGTTCTGGTCAGCCTCCTCCCTGCCCGCCATCCACACCTTGCGTTGGGACCTAAGCAACAGCTCCGCCCCCTCTGCCAGCCAGAGCCCCACTTGCACGCCCACTGCCACCTTGCGTTTTGGTTTAATTTTTGTTCTTTTAAGCTTCTGCGCTTCTCCATGTGCTGTGATCTGTAACCTGCCTCTACTGTCTGGCCTCACAGGGTCCTCCGGGGTCACAGCCCTCGCCGCACGCACAGCCTCCACCTCACAATCCCAGCAGCATGATGGGACCCCACAGTCAGGTAAACGCACCGGCTCTCCTGCCTGCCCGCCCGCGGGGGGCGCGGGGCAGGAGGAAGGAGAGAGCCAGCAGAGGAAAAACAAAAATCAAAATGTGCTCCAGCCCTTGCCTTTCAGTCTTTATAGACAAATGTAATTGAAAAAAAAAAAAAAAAA